TTTGTTCCCATGTATGGTTTATTCTGGTTAACGTTTCTTGTTTATGTCAAAGTTAATTTCTATGGGTTGGGGTTACTGACCCTATATCTAACGCTCCTCTACTTTTTTTGTGTGTGGGCCTCGGATCGATAACGGCATTAGACGAGCTACAGGTGGAGTTGTCAACATGTATATAATCATAGACACTATATATCTTGTTCAAATATATGATGATAGAAAACATAGAGCATTTTAGTTTGATATTAGGTGATTGAAGGTAGTAGAAGGTGGAATGTACCAGTCAGACACGGTGTATCTACAATTCAGATAGGAGATGATACTAAACAACAACAAAAAAATTATTGAGACTATAATTTATGGACAAACTATTCAGATTTACGATAACAGGTTTTGGATTTCGGCGTGAAATTCTATATCTAATTTATGCAAAGATGGATAGTGGCATGCATTGGGATCTAAGTCACGCGTTTTGTCCTATTTGAGACTCGTCAGCTAGATGTACCTGAATCCCGGAGTAGATGTTCACTGCGGGACTCGAACCCAGCGCCGTTCGCTTCAAGCGCTATCGTGTCATCCACTTAGCTATTGAGTCCTGGTAGGCACTCTCATGTGCACAGTATGCACATATGTCACTAAGAGACTTATCAATTGCAGTGCTAAACATCAATGGGAAGATTCAAACAAACAATATCAAGTGAATCTTTATTCATTTGGCTAAATAATGTCTCGACATTTTAGCTGATGTTAGTTTGTGATGAAAACCACAAATCCATTTCATATTCCCAACTATCAACTGTAAATTACAATCCTTATCCTTCATATTGGATTTAAACACTCATTTAACCCTAGCCTGTAAGTGGACATTCTCAAGGCCACTTCACCGACACTCAAATGTCGTATACAAATTATAGTCTTACCAGAAGATCTGTAGTGGCTGTGCTTCGTGAACCAATCACCCTCGTAACCGTTATCGTGTAATCTCTCAACGGTGTTTGAAATCAGAAGTCAAAGAGAAGCAGCTACCACAGTTTTATTAGCAGGTAACTCAAACCACAGAGCAGAGAGGTGAATGAGTCAGCAAACCGTGAATGTATAAAGTGTTAAATACACATGTCTATATATAGAAAAATGAATGGATTATCGAATCGATTAATCGGCTAATAATAAGGTTAGTGGGATGAATATATTCGTGGGCAGTCAACAATGTTCAAGCATACTTATTCATACAATCATAACAATAATAGTGATACAATAAGTTGTTATAGTACAGATGACTTTGTCCGTTCAATAAGTTAACAAAAGGGCCTAACCGAATTAGATGAGAGCACACTCAATTGCACATGAGTTGCTATAATAGCTCCCCCCCCCCTTGCAAACAAAGATATATTAGAAAAAATGTCTGTATTTGCACAAAAATTAGTAAATTGAATAGAGTAGTTACAATCGTTTGAAGAAATGGGTTTATACGAAATTAGGATAAAGTTAATGTGTACTGTGTATGTGGTTCGTGCTTATCCGTGAGGCTATATAAAATAATAGTAAGCGTAAAGGTACATAAGATATGACTAGTTTTACAGTATATAACATGAGCTTAATAATCCATATATATACAATGAAGTGGAAGAGTTATAATTAATATTCAGATCTAAGCAACTAGTTTATACAAATATCAGAAGGGTTTTGTGGATATTATAGTAATATCAATGATGGAGATCATGAGTCAAATGAAGCTAGACCATCATGAAAAACCTGGAAGCACTGGACGACTGTTTCGTCTTATTGTGGGACTCCTAAGTGGCAGTGCGCATCGACGATCTCGCCTCGCGATATTCGAAGCCGGGACCTAACAGTCTCATGCGAAAGTGCTTAACCATTGGACCACTGAGCTGGCTGGCATCCAACGCTAATAATGTCTAACTACATGTAATCCACGAGATTGAGCTACCATTCACCAATGTCTTCAGTGATTTACTATCTCACAACAGATCCGGTTGAACTCCACTGATCACTGCTTCTCACTAGAACTCCAGGATATACCCCTTGAAGCCAGTCACTAGTGAGCATATGTTGATTCATATCAGAAGCGGTTGTTGTGGATATTATAGTAGTTTCTATGGTTGAAGTCATCAGTCATTTGAAGTTAGAAAACTTGGAAGCACTGGACAGCCATTTTGTCCTATTGTAGGACTCCTCGGCAGTATGTCAGCTCCATTTTTTAGGAAGATATTCTGATCAAAGTTTTGTTTTTCTAGGTGGCAAATTGTTCAATGTTTATTATTAAATAAATAATTATTAGTAAATATATGTTTATTATTTGAAGAATTAATCAATGTGAAATTCCTCCTTTATCTTTCCTTCCTCGCTCAAACTCACACTTCTAATAGTTTCTCATTCTGTTACCCCATCACACCTCACCCCCCCCCCCCCCCCCCCCACCCCCAGTGAATTCATTAGATATACAAAGAAATAAAAATCATTCTATTCTAAACTTAAAAACGTATAAAATCAACAAAAGATGTCGATCGTTTTGATGTCAACTCATTCATTGATTGATTCACTGAATTTCCTTTACTTCAATGGATCACCCTACTTCTCACAACCATCACCTATTACCACCATCACCATCACCCTCATCACATACAATTTCATTCATGCTGTACGATTGTTGTTTTAATTATCCTTTTAAACTTTTTTTCTTTCAAACGGAATTCCGTTTGTATACAAAGTGTAACGATGCAAAGTAAACAAATAAATAAATAAGTAAAATTTTGTAAACAAATGAGGTAAGAAAAGAAACAGTATTGATAGTAATAACAAGAAGGTGAAGAAGAACATGAAGAAGTAGAGGAAGAAGAAGGAGAAGGAGAAGAAGAACGAGGAGGAGGAGGAGGAGGAGGACAATAAGATTTCGTCGGTAACAAAAGAGAAAAGAAAGAGAATTTCACACAACCTTTAGTTTTTTATTTTCCCCTTTTTACCACCACCACCACCACCATTAACCTTATTTTATCTCTATTTATTTTTATCAATTTTATTTTAACTTCAACTTTGAAAAAAAAGAAAAAAAATTTTTTTGTAAATCAATTTTTGTTTATCTTTTTTTTCTTTTTTTTCTCTCTCTCTGTTTTGTTTATTAATTAATAAAGTGAAAAGTATTGAAATACTCATGTTATTTATATTATGGAATAAAATAACATTCTGTATGAAATGAATTCTTATTGGCTGTTATAATATCAATCAATATATTGATTATATCCAAAGATAGATATTGATTAGTAGTGGAATCTAGTTTGACTCATGTTTCGTTCTATTTGGGACTCATCAGCTGGATACATTTGCATTTTAGAATTGATGTTCACTCTTGAATTTGAACTTTGTACTAATCGTTTCAAACACCATTGTGTTATACACTGAGCTATTGAGTTCTAATAGTTACTTTTTTGTGCAATAAAGCGAAGTTTAAATTCACTTGGTGTTGTTATTCTATTGAAGGATTCATTCATACAACCAAAAAAATCATTTTCTGTCTAGATTTTCTATAAGAGTAAAAATAGTTTTACAACTATCTTTACATTCACTTGATATTGTTTACGTGAATCTTCCGATTGTTGTTTAGGACGACAACTGATCAGTATATTTTTATAGCATATGTGCATCCTGTACGGATTGCCTCAAGTCACAAGCATTATATGCAAAGATGTATGATGGCTAGGAGTGGAATCCAGAACAGGCGATTCATCTTATTTGTGACTCTTCAGGTTGGTATACCTGCATTCTAGAGTTTATATTCATTCCAGGAATCGAACCCAGTACCTTTCGCTTCAAACGCCATCGCATTTTTCACTTGGCTAGTGAGTGCTTTTGCAATGGGGTGAATTTAAAATTCATTTGGCATTTTGGTTTACTTGAATCTTTCCACTGATGCTTAGCACTTCGATTGATCAGTCTCTTATTAGCATTTGTGCATCCTCGACATTGCCTTAATTCACAAATACTTTAGTCAAAGATGGATAGTGCGTGATGAGTCTCATATAGAACGAAACGAGTATCTTGGATTCTATTGCTAAGCGCTATCCATCTTTGTTTGTACATCTTCACACCATGAAATATACTTCATGTGTAGTAACTTAAGATCAGTATCCTAATCTTCGATTGACATAAATGCGTGGAAACCAATCTCTGAATTTACTTTTCAATTTTTAGAGTAGACGCAACATGACCTTCAGATAGGCAACTCAACCTTGATCGATTCCATGGAATAGTCGCGTTTAATCGTTATTCTTTTTTATATCACCTGAAAGTACTGGAGATCCGATTAGATAAACATGTTCAAAGAACGAATGACACTATCATTTATGGAGGACCTTTGAGCGACGACAGACTGACATTGAGGCTGTATCTATCTAATGACTAAGACCGAATGAGAGTTATAAATTACTGTGAGGTTAAGGTTGAGAATTAGATGTGGAGGATTTTCATCACGAACTAACATCAACTATAATGTCATGAATCTATTTAACCAAATGGATAAGTGAATTTCATGCAAAAATCTAAGATCTGTATTACTATACTTGATTGATTCATTCATAAACTATAGTCTCACCACTATTGGTAATATCAAAACAATTCTACAGTATGGAGCTATCATCCAGAAGATGCAAGTGTTTATTAACAGTTATCCAGATCAATTGATTAGACACTATCAATAACAACCTACTATAGGAGAGAACAAACTAGATACTTACGAATGATCTGATAGCTACATATATTGAGGAAAGCATCCAACTACGTCACAAACCAAGCCCTCATTTGATCCCCTAAAGGTCAGAGGAGAATAGGAAGACTAAAGAACACATAACGCCTTGAAATGATGACAAACATGAAAAGAATAAACAACAACTGAGCAGAACTAGAAAAGAAGACCCAGGACAGATTAGATTGGATGAATGCTAGTCAGCGACCTATTGTCCATGTGGAGTAACTATGAACAAATCACTTACTTTTCCATGTGATACTTCATCATCATCTTTAATATAAAATCGTATAATTGGTTTTGTAAATATTTGTCCTTCAGGTATAGTAATATTCTCTTGTATAATTAATGTTGGTCTATTATCATTAATATCCTTAATCTGTATAGAAATGGATGTACTGGTTGACAACTGTGGACTACCACAATCTTTGACAACAATCGGTAATAGAAATTGACGTTCAGAATAGATTTCATAATCTAATGGTTCACGTATTGTAATAGCACCATTTCTTGAATCAATATGAAATTTCAATGGAATTAAACTATTGACTAATGGACTAAATGAATAGATTAATCGACTATTGTCCCCAGAATCAGCATCTGTAGCATTCACTATATAGAATGGTTTATCATCTAATGTTGTATTCTCTGGTAATATAATAGATTGGTCAATCATTGTAGATTGTCTTATAATAGGTGGATTATCATTGATATCTAATAGTCGAACTATAATTGATAATGAACCAGTTAAAGATGGATCACCACCATCAATTGCATAGAATGTTGCATAGATTTCACGATCATCTAGATTTTCATAATCTAATGATCTTAGGAGTATTAATTTTGGATTGATTGAATTGATATTATCATAAGTTATACTAATGTTTAAACGAGGTTCTTCAACAGGATCTCCATTATTTGTATGTTCAACCAGTTTGTATGTGACTATACCATTTACTTCAGAATCCGCATCGGAAGCCATAGGTAAACCTTCAAATCCGCTTGTATCACCTTCTCGAATATAAATAATAAATGGTCTATTATATAATTGTTGAGATACATTGAATGGATCATATTTAATCACATTAGTTGACATAAAACGTGGTGGATTATCATTTGCATCATTAATTCGTATATATAAACGTATAATCGTTTGTTGATTAGATTCATTCAATTTTACCGGGTTTCGTCTCAAAATTTCTTCATCTTCATCAGTAATACGAGTATCTTTCATTATTGAATGATTGCCATGATTAAAATCTTGTTCCCATTGTTTAGTTAAAATGACATTTGCTTCAATTTGACATACGGTTAATGTACAACAATTTAATGGACCACATATATCATTTGTATTATCCCGATCAATGTGACGTAATGTGATTAGATCACCATTGGATGTAATCTTTATGTAATCATTTATATATTGAAATTTCATTGATGTAATTAACAAGAATGTATATTTCCTTATATAATTTATAGATAAATTTTCTGCTATATTACCAATTAATGAACCAGTTGGTGTTTCATCAGCAAGGTTATAAATCATTATTGGGATTTGATAACTACTCATAAATGATTTAAGTAGTAAGAAAATTACATTAAAAATAATTGGATAATAGTGAATTGGCATAATTGATTGATATTTATATGATTGCTTAAGAAGTGAAGAAATGAAATGGATAAAAGAATAAGATAGAGAATATTAAGTGAATAATCAATGAAAACATTTTCAGTTTAAAACGATTGTAATTCGTGTCTACTATACGGAAAGCACAGTATACCATGATCCCATTAATGTGTATAGGTTATAAGATCGTATACTCTTGTATGGTATAAGGTCATTTCACATTGGTTTTTTAGGAGAACCGGACACTATTCAGACGTTCATGTGACAACGCGAGCAGTACAGCTCAATCCTGATTGACAGGAGAACGAGACACTATATAGGCATTAACGTTACAATCTGAATAGTGGAGTTTAATCCTGTGTCGCAACCACACTGGTACCCAGCATCCTGGTGGATCATTCGCACCATTCATATAAATACTCACATCACATGTATAGTTGTTCCGATTAATGATCCCATGAATCAATTAGGCAAAGTTCGAACAGGCCAACGTCGACCTATTCCTCTTACACGACAGTCCAACTCATTAATGTTAGCAATGATGATATACCTTACAATGTCCTAATGACAATAACCCATGAGAACAAAGAAAATCAACCACCAGCAAACCAATTTCGAGTATGGACAGTCAGCAAAGCTTACCAGGTAGTGCCGAATCATTCACAATAACAATAATGAACTTCCAGTCTCATATGAGACCTTCAGCTCTACATAGCAATATAGCTTTTACTAATGTATACATTTACTTCATTTGAATTGAGTTCTGTAACTTTTTCTATAGTCTAAATAATAATAAGTGAAGCTAGCCTAGATCCATTACGACCTAATATGTCAAATTATCCGCCAGGAAAATGAGAGATAAGTCAGACAAGATGAGAATTAGTTAATACGCAATGATCTAAACTCTAAAGGATGGCTGATTATAAGTAATATGTGCAGCCATTCATAGATATATTGAATTAACACATCAACACCGTTGGATGCCGGTGGGCTCATTAGTCTGCAGGTTAAGCATTTTACACACCGGATCATTAGGTCCTAGGTTCGAGTCCCTTATGCAGGATTGTGAATACACACTGTCATTGAGTAGTCTCATACAAAGACAAAACGACCGTCTAATACTTCCAGGTTTTCCATTTTTTCTCTAGCTTATCTTCACTCATAAATTCAACTATTAAATAACAGAATTTGTTTTAATGTTTTCTTGTTGTCTAAACCTTTTATGACAAGCACAGTTTATCTTAATTATTTAAACTACTTCATCAAACTAGACCTTCATAAATCTATTCCGAAAGGATCAATGAAGTGTTATATACACCTACATAAATGCATCTCATTTATATCCATGACTGAAATAAACAAACCACTTATACTATAATGAATAGATTCAATATTCAATTGTATATCATTCATTTGAAGTTGTCATTAATCTCAAGGTCAACAACAAGATGACCTTAAAGCTAATGAATATTGAAATAGATTTGAAAACAAACGAATAACTTATGACTTATTAATTTATATTAATGTAACGATACCATCAATTAGTGAACAGTGATTTATCGAATGAACCTACGATGTATAAAGCTGTGCGAATAGTGTAGATACTTTAACGATGCTCTCTTGGTTTGCATATAACTGCAATTATTATCATTATTGATCGAACGGATGCAGTAAAGGCAATCTAGAATCTTTATCGATCCCTCTTTCTGACCAGCGCTCTCTGCCTCCTGAGTTCAGAATGCCAATAACAGCTTCCACTATGAGAATCACGTATTACAAACTGTGAAGCCGAACTCGAGGAAGCTGTAAGAAGCTCAGAATGAGCTGAAGATATTCCATCCAATCGACTTTTAGAAGATTATTTTGTGAATATTTTCCAAAATCCCTGTCGCTAATTGTTATAACTTGTGAGTCGAATGTTACTTGTTTATCTTATTGTCGTCGTGTTTTGGGGTTAATGAACATTCGCTTATACCAGTCTTTATGCTCTTAATTTTGTGTCGTGGGAATTGCAAAGGTCTCTCGTTCCGAATACAAATGATCAGCGTTTCCGACACAACATTCAGCGACGTCCAGATATGTAAATAGTATTCGATTCATAAGTTATAATACAACCATACTAAGTTTATCTAAACCAACCAAACAGATCACATCGTACCAGAAATTAGGAAATAACATTTGTACAAGATCTAGCCAAAAGTGGCTGTGAATGTTAGAGACTGTAATGTATCAACTAGGCACAACTCAAGAACAATAAATCCATATCATAATAGTTTATAGATCAAATGAAAGCTTATTATATGACAAATATGAATATACACAACTTAGTTACTAAGTGGTTATACAATAAGAAATATCTATATATCATTAATAGTTCCTAATAGTTCCTACCCCCCCCCTCTATACTCATTGAGATTTAACAAAATCTATTACAAATCGATCAATAATTCCATTCTAGAAAAAATCAATTACATAAACAATTTAGCTTATTTAAAGAAGAAAAAAAAGAAAAACAAAAAAAGAAAAAAACACAAAAAAGAGAGAAAAACAAAAAAAAGAAAAACGTGACAGAAATTTTCTCAATTTATTTATTTGTTTATTTATTTATTTTTCTTATCAATTTCATTATCAAGGCCAAAATTATTCTTTATCATAATGAAATATTGAATATTGAATAAGAGAGAAAAATTTTAATGAATAATTACACGTTATCTATTCATGAGATGAATTAATTGATTGTTATTTCATGAAATGATCTAATCAGGAAATAAAGAATAAGAATATCACACATTGAACTGATTGAGTGAATGAGTGTGTATGTGTGTGAGTGAGTAAGCGAGTGTGAGAGTGAGCGAGTGTGGGAGTGAGTGAATGAGTGCGTGTGTATGTGGGGAGGGGATAGTGAGTGTGGGAGTTAGTAAGGGAGTATGCGAGCTAGCGAGTGTGTGATCGTGTGACTGAGTGAGTGGGTGAGTGTGTGGTTGTGTGATTGAGTGTGTGTGTGAGTGAGGAAGTGAGTGAGAAAATAACTCAACATATGCACCATATAAACCGATTGATTTGTGTGTGGTCTGTGATACTGGTAGGGTACATAGGTGTTTCCCTGAGGAGGCCAGATCACGAGCCTCTGACTTAAACAAGTAATCCATCAGGCAGTGGAAAAAGGTTACAATATTAATACTATTGTAGCCGGCCATCATACGCCATTTGTTCCATCGGGATACTGAAGACCATATATATCATTGGTTTGAAATGATGATTTTTGAACACTCTTAGCTGGATCAATTTTTATCTACCAATTCGGTTAAAGCACTGGAAATTCCCTCAATTTTGTGAACAACTGTAATGCTATGAGAAAACAGTGAATAGGATTTCTCTCGCAGTGCTTGTATGTATGTGATAATGAGAGAGTATTTCTAGGAGAGGAAGCTAACACTTCACACCATCGAGTTCGCTTTTCGTTCCTCTCAATTTTATAAACAGCAATAATGCCACGAGAAGGTAATGAATAAGACTACATTGTCAGTAGTTTGTATGCAAATGGTCATTTGAGAGTATTTGAATAGGGAGAACGGACTCTCCACACCATCGGCCATACTAAAGTATATAAAAGCAAAAATAAATATCTTTCATAAATTTTTACTTAAACCGTTATTAAGGAAACCTTTCACTGTTTTGATTCAAACCCTATGCTCAACCCATCTTCTTTATCCGGTCTTGGGAACAGCAGTAATACAAGAAGGGCTCTAGGTGGAGTATTTTGAGGATTAAAGTAAATATAATAGTGGGTACATGAGTTAATATAAGTTAGACTACCATTGACAAGTTGAAAGCACCAGACGTCATGAGCTGGTGAGCTGATATCTTACAATAGACCTGATTGAACTCCACTGGTTATGGCTTTTCAATAGAACTCCAAGAAATTATCTCTTGAAGTCAGTTACTACTGAGTAGGTGATTATCATCAGAAAGGTTTTTGTGGAGATTTTAGTAATTGCAATTGCTGAAATCGTAGGTCATTTGAAGCTAATCCACCATGAAAAATCTAGAAGCACTGGATGGCCATTTCGTTCTATTGTGGAACTCCTCACCAGTCCATATCCACGATCCCGCCCCCTTCCACGAGATTCCAACCCAGGACCTACCAGTCACGCGCGCAAACGTTTAACCATTAGACCACTGAGCCAACCAGCATCCAACGGTGTTCATATCTAACTTCAAGGTATTCCCTAGATCACTTCAGACATTTTGATCACTTATAATCGTATTCATTTTATATATGAATTGATCTTCCATGAATAGTCTCTTATCTATAACCAACATATTGATTTTCATTTTAAGGTTCACAGGAACATGTTTTCTAAAGATTGAGATGTTGTCAAAAAGTCAATAATTAAACATTGCGAAATCTAAAATTTATTCATATTTCAATCACTAAGCAACAATATCTAACATATATAGATATAGATAAACATGGTATTAAAAAAAGTAGAGGGGGAGTGGATGGATAGGTGGGAATAGAATCAATTTTTCTAGCATGTCAAGTAAATTTCAGAGAGAGAGAGAGAGCGGGAGTGAGGAGGAGAGGGAGAGTGAGAGTGAGAGAATACATTCATTGATTTTAGTTAGAAAATAATGCAAGAATTAAAAATTTCCTGTTTCGGTTATTGTTGTTGCTATTGTGGCAACAAGACATATATAGAGAATTAATTAATGAAATTAATAATGGTAATAATGAATTCGAAAGACAAGATGAAATTATTCACCATGTGGTTTATGCCAAAATAATGTTTTTTTTTTTCTTTCTTTTCTTTTTTTCTTTTCTCTTTTCTTTTTGTTGTTGTTGTTGTCGTTGTTGGAGTTATATCACGCAATAATTATATCTGTCATATAAATATATATATGATACTTAGGAGTTGGATATCTATATAAATGACCAATGAATAGGTAACATGGACTATCCTCTTTCTTTTTATATATGTGTCTTGAATGGGTGGGCGGGTTTGAAAAGAACACCTACCTTAATT